TGTTTTTTTTTTTTTTTTTTTTTTTTTTTTTTTTTTTTTTGCTGTTAAGTTTGGTTAAGGGTTTTTAAATTTCATTTAATCTTTCAAAGAACCAATTCTTCAATTAATTGATTCTTTGTATTGTTTTCTTAGTCTCTATTGAATTAATTTCTGCTCTGATCTTTATAATTTCCTCCTTTGTACAAGTTTGTGGTTTGACTAGCTCTTCTTTTTCCATAGCTTGAAGTTCAACATTAGGTTATTTATTGCAGCTCATCTGTTTTTCTGATACAGGAATTCACTGCTATAAATTTACCTCATAGGACTGCTTTCATTGTGGCTCATAAATTCTGCAATGCTGCACTGGCATTATTGCTTATTTGTAGAAACCCTCTTAATTTCTTCTTTATTTCATTTGTGACCCATTGGTTGTTCAGGAGTGTATTATTTCATTTCCATGTGTTTATAAAGTTTTTGTGGTTTCCTTTGCTATTGATTTCCAATTTTAATACACTATGGCTTGATAATATCGATGGGATAATTTCAATTCCTTTGCATGTACTTAGGCATGTAATGTGAGCTAGTATGTGTTCTAGTTTGGTGAACAACCCATGTGCAGCTGAGAAGAATGTGTATTCTGGTATTGTGAGGAGGGACACTCTAGATATCTACGAAGTCCATCTGTTTGACAGTTTGGTTCACTCCTGATATTGCTTTCTTTCTTTCTCTTTTTTTTTTTTTTTTGTACCAGGGATAGAACTCAGAATATTGTTCTTGTGAGACTGGTGATGGAACCACTAAGCTAAATCCCTGGCCCCTACAGTTTTGATTTCTTTGTTGATTTTTTTGTCTAGTCATTCATTCTGTCACAGTGGAGAATTGAGTACTCCATTATAATTATCTTAGTGTTTATATTTGTTTTATATAATTGGATGTACAAATATTTGGTGCATATATATTTATGATTGTTATCTATTACTATTGGATTGTTCGCTTTCTACTGATGTAGGAACCTTCTTTGTCTCTCTAATCAGTCTTGGTTTGAAGTCCACTTTCTCTGCAAATAGGATAGCTACCCTGCTTTTTTTCTGGGTTCCTGTTGCATGAAGAATCACATTCCAGTCTGTAACATTCCATGTTTCTCCTGCTGGTTTGAATTTGGCTCCCTGGCCTCCTACAGTTTTGAACTCAGCAGCCTTACCCTTATACTGAGAGCCACTAGATGTATAAAGTGGAAAATTAAATATAAATGCTTATTTCTGTCACTTTGTAGAACTACTAAAATAATAGAAAAGGGATTTTACACACAATAGAAAGAAATTAGAAAATGATAAATAGAAAAATAATTCATTGAAATCTTGTTTTAAAAGCAGGTCCCTTTGAAATAGACTTTTGTTTTAAACATTTCAATCTCCCGAATGCTGTTTCAGTGATTTCTATCACACTTTATATTGTTAAATTTACTGAAGCAAATATGACAAAATATCTTGTGTCTTTTTAAAACCTTTACATCTAACATATGAAGAAATGAGAAAATTTTCTGCTTATTTGAAGTATTTTATAATCTTTTATGTATCCAGTGAACTGATTTTTTAGTTAAATTTTTAAATTTTCTTGTCATTTATGTAGATTTCTGTGGACCAAAATTTTCACCTTCCTCCATGTAGCCTTAGTTTTATTTAAACTCCTCCTTACTTTATTTTCCCTTTAAGCATCACACAATCCTTAGCACATACACTCTATACTCCTAGTGCCTTCCACCCACTAGTTCTACAAATTACACAAGGAAAAATACAAACCTTATTGTATAAGACGTCCTGCAGGTTTGAAACCACAATACAGTCATTGAATATTTATGTTCAGGAATCCAAATTATATGGGATATTACATTGTTTTTAAAAAAGTATTCTTTATCAATTATGGGGGTAGAGACCCAATTTGTGAATTTAATTTAAAAACCTAGTAAGCAGTTTCTCTTAAATATAGTTTTTTCAACTGTAAAATGAGGATAATTTCTATCATGTAGAATTGTTCCAAGGATTCAAATAATGTAAGCCATCACTATGAAAGGAGATTTGCATATTCGGGGCTGGGAATTTGTACAAAAGTACAAATGTGATTCTTCATAAACAGTGAGGAGAGAATGGATCCTCATGTACTTGTTCTCTTTAGCATCCATGGTCATAGCCAATGTAGACAGTATGAAACAGGCATGAGTTCAAGAAACTACTGGTAAAAAAATCAAAATTTGGAAAAAAGAAAGCTAATTCTACTTAATGATGGGGACTATTAACTTTGAGATCAATTAAGTTACAATCTATAGCAAATTAGCATTTTAAATTAATTCTGTGAGGACTCTGGGAGTAGGGTACATGAACAAAACTGATCTGATCCAAGATTGAGAACACATTTCTTTATATGAAACACTGAGAGGTAAAGCAATGCAATGAATACCTTAGTAAAAGATGATCATATATTTAAACAAAATTAGAAAAATACACATTTTTTTTCTGCTTTACTTACTGTGGCTTTTAAAGCACTGGTTTGTAAAGGGTAAGATGATTACAAAGCTTCCTTCAAGAAATACAAGTCTCAGGTAATCAACATTATTAAATTCAGGTCTCATCTTGCAGAAGTATCTCACTAATAAGGAACAAAAATAAAAGTAATTCTCAAGGAATAACTTGTAGTTCATTGAATCATCCTCTTTCAGTAATTAAGTGTCTTAGGATAAACAAAATGAAGCAAAGAATGTGAATAACTGGCTGTAGAAAAGTGAAAAATGATAAGCACACTGTAAAAATTAAAGCCAATCATGTTCCAAAAGTTTAATATAGTTTTTATAAAACTGAAATTGCAGTATTGAATGAATTTATAATTTCATAACTTAAATAATCTTATACATTTCAATAATTATAGATTGCATGCCAAAAAGTACAACTAATTTGATACTAGTTTTAATATGTACAATGTAATTCAAGCATAAATTCAGAAGTCGAGTTCATAGACATGTTGCACAGTCAGGCTGAACCCTCTTCATAGTAAGGATTGGCAGAAGGTTCCAGAACACAAATCAAATGTAAATCAGCTTCTCCATGACCTCAGTCTCCCTCCAATAGAGATAATATATTGTGTGAGCCCATCCTGTCCAGACAAAAAACGGCTTTCAAATACTTAGACATTGAATGTTTTTCATAGTATTTATGTCTATAGGTAAATAAATTTAAAACATCATAAGAATTTTTTCAGAAATAATTAATGATAAAATATTCCTATTTTTCATTTGGTATATATTTACAAAGTGTCCTCACATATTGCTGAAAAGAATAAATATTTAAATTGAAGATAAGTATTATCAAAATAATTATTTCTTTTATTTACAACATCTTGATAAATAGAATTAAGTATTTTACTGTAATAAGAGCTATCTCATGAAAATATTATAAAAAGGGTCTATTTCCAGTTGGGAAGTAGAGTTACTCAGTTCAATGATTACATTATGTTGTTTTTTCCTAGCCACAACATTGGTGGACTAAAAATTATTCTGGCTTAAATTGACTTTTACTCTCCTTGATTTAAGCTCTTACAACTTCTTGAAAGGGAAATACTGAGGTTTATTTATTATTCATTCAATAAAATGTGTAACATTTCACTGCTGACACATTTCATATACTGACTGAATAAATGTTACATGAAACCACTTCAATACGAAATCCTTCAGGCTGAAATATATGAAACAGATGATTTAGCTTGGAATGATCTGTGTCAAAAAATCAGCAAAAGGAGAAGAAAAGCAATTCTTTATTTTTATGCAAATATATCATACTTCATAATTTAGTTACTTTGAACATAAACTTTACCATACATCATCCAAACCAAGACATTTTAATAGTGAAAGGAGTGCTAATTACACAAGTATAACAGATATAAAGAATTTTCCTGGGTAGAGTGAAACCTAGAAATAGGGGTTAAACTGCAATTACATGCAGAAATCATACCTTTCCCACACGTGTGGAAAAGATAAAAATAATATAATTCATTTGCATTAATTGATGTTGGCAACAGTAACTCTTTCTCATTTTCACATCTCTGTTCAAGTATTACCCACCTCCCTAAGGCAGTCTCTCTACTAAAATAATCAATTATTATTCCACATTTTTCAGTGTGTCTCCCTTGTTTCATTCCCTTAACTGATATTTTGATTGTCTGAAATTGTATCTTGTGTTTTGGACTGTCTCTTCCCCCCTCTCCTACTGGTTTGCACTGCTCATGAAGAATCACCTCCTCAGACTTAGTCATGCTCAAATTTCCAGGTACTAAATAATGTTTAGGACGTAGAAGGTATGCAGAGATTTTGTTGAATGAATGAATACATTCAGAGAGTTTGTTTTTGGTTCTTCTTGGTACCAAAAACAAATTACAATGACTCTCCAAAATGAATTATGGCTCTGTTTAGCTTTAAAGTGTTGGACTAAATGATCTATGCAGTTTCTTCCACTGCTAATACATACATCATGTCCTCTATTCCTCTTTTTCACCCTGCTATTTCATTTCCTACAACCAGGAAACTAGTAAACTTGGTGATCAAGGGATAGGGCAACTGCTCATTTCACAGTAGATGAATGTTCAAGGTTGATCATTGTGCCAGTAATGATTCCCTGGCATATGTTTGCACCTACAGAATTTGGTTTATATAGAGGTAGCCAGAAGATATTATAGTTAGTAACATAATTATTAATATAATAATTTCCAATAATAAAATCACCATTAGATTGCTAAAAAATAGGAAATGATAGGAGTCCAAACCAAGCATTAGTGATTTATAGATTAGTGAGAACTGGATTGATTCTGGACAAACTTACATTGCATTGCCCAATAAATTTTATAGGAAAACTTATAGTATATTGATAAGGAGCCCTTCTAATTTTCATAAAAGTCTCTGCCTTGCAAATCTTTTTTTACTGACCAACAATTGTGATTCCCTCTAATGAACATTGGCTTAGAAAAATTGCACTGCTAAAATTGAGTAAACCATGGATCCAAACAAATAAAACAGTGTTCACCAAAAAAAAAAAATTGTGTAAAATATTTTCAATTCATCTCATGTTAGTTTTTCCCAGGTCTTTTGAAACACACCTCCTTAACTGTAAATGACAGGCCTGGGATAGGAACCCCAGGTGAAAAAAAAGTCTATCCTCTTACAGCAAATGCCATAAACAAGAGAACAGCATAAAAAAGAGACTCAAATAGACATACATATTTTAAGCATTATTTATCATCTACTTCATTGCACTGTCATGTTTCCTTAAAGATAAATTTTGTTTTCTTTTAATGAACAAAAATACCAGAAAAAGAGTGAATATATTACCAATTGATTCAGCTTGAAATAGCCATTAACTATGCAATTTCACACAGATTCTGATATATTCAAATATAACCTGGCCACTGACTATTAGAACAATTCAGTATTTGTTCAGAGCTCATATTTGTAATAGATTATTACAAAACAAATTTCCACATATAATTAGTCCAAGAATGATCAAATTCTCAAATTAATCAACATTTATTTCCTCCCAGTACTAGCAATTTTGAAAACGCATGAGAAAATTTAAATGATATATCATGTACTGGAGTGCTCAAAATTTATATGTTAAATATTTAATGATTTTACTTTGTAGTGCCATATATAGCACAAACTTGTGTGACTTTCTTATGATAAAGTACAACTGAAAACCTCCTATGACCATAAACAGCAAAAATCATTAAATCAGGTTTTAAAATGACAAATAATTTAAGGCTAAAATATTTGGTATTAATAATTAATGCCAGTAGCCTTTCTAGTCTAATAAAGTAAACATGCACAAGAAGTACAGCTTTGAACAAAACATCACAATTGTTTCAGATATATATGTATGTATGTATGTGTATGTATATATAAATGTGTGTATGTGTGTATTTGTGTGTGCATGAGTATGCGTGTAGTTTTATCACCCTGAAAGCTATCCACTCATGTTTGGCTTAATACATCTTTTAGAAATGATGGAGAGAGTACCTCCCCTTTAAATATATATTTATATATTTTTCCAGAATGTACAATATAAATATGCCATATATAAATCATGCCGTAAAACTAAATGCAAAATTTGCACATTATTGCATGCTTGATGTGATTATACATGCCCATTAATGACTTCCTCATAATGTCCTCCCTTCTTAACTTTTGTTTATTGCACAATTGCAATACTTGGGAATGGAGAGTTCTCAAATATGCTTATTGAACTGGGGGAAAATGAACCTTTCAAATTTGTTCGGGAGGATTATCTCATCAGCCAAATATTGGACTATACCTAAATCAAAACATTAAATAATGCCTAAAGGGGTGTTTTGTTATGTGAAGCGATCAGAGTTCATTTTTCTTAATTTGGCTGGAAGATTTCCTTCCATCCTAGTTGCTCCGCCAGCCATCTTTTGAAGCTTTGGTGGCAAATCAGCCACAGACTGACTCATAGGGTCAGATAACATCTTGGTCGTTTTAGATACCAGTTTTTCTTCTGAGTTTCCAGGAACCGAACTTATTCGTTGAAGTTTCATGGGCAAATCTCCCAAGCTGTAGGCTTTTTCTGAAGTTGTTGAACTCATCCTCAATAGTTTTTTGGGGAAGTCTTCTCTTCCAGTGATTTTCTGCAGCTTTGATGGAAGTTTTGTGCTAATATCATCTAGTCCATCTAAGCACTCCACAGAATTGTGCCTTTCTTTGCTGTTAGTTATGGCTGGTGCTATTAAAGGGGATGACATGAGAAGCATTTCTTCTTGCTCTTTCACGCTGTAAGGTGGAGTAGGGACTTCAAATGTTGCATGGAACTGAGAGTAATCAACTTTAAAGAATCCTTCTTCTAAAGAAATTACAGGGAAAAAGCGATGACCCCAAAGAACTTCATCTTCGGTGTATGATGTTCGAGCTTGACAAGTCATCCCTACAAGCAGAAAAAAAAGCCCTTGATAAATTATGCATAGTGCAAGCACATGTAAAGGAAGATTAAAAATTCATTTAGCTCACTTATTTATCTTAGCAGACTAAATGACAGAAGTTTACTATACAGTAACAACTTTGCTACATATACCTTCTTCTATTGACAGAGAAGGTGTTCATACTGGTCATACTTGAAAGGTTAATACATCATAAAATAATCCATTGCTTTTTAGATATAAACCAAAAATATTCGGCATACATTAACTTCAGAATGTATATGTCTGTATAAGGAGCTAGATGGAGAAATTATTAAATCATTTTCTATCAGTTAAGAAGCAATGTGGGATGTGAAATAAACTGTACTGAATCCACATTTTACCACTCAGTAAACTTAAGAAAGACACTTTAGAATCACTTTCTTCTTTTTTTTGTGGGTTGGAGGGTGTGGTACCAGGGATTGAACTCAGGTCCTTGCGCTTGCAAGACAGGAGGCAGACCCACTAAGCTCAATCCCCAGCACTTTTTTCTTCTTAAAGAATAAACCAACACTGGTTTCTTTCTGTGAGCATGAATAAAATAACACAGAATAATTAAGTATGTCACATAACATCTACACATAGTTGGCTCTTAATAAATGAGAGATCACATTTTTCTCTTCACACAGTGAAAACTTACAGTGGAAGACAAGAGGAACAAAAATAACACTTCTAAATTAACAAAAGACAAACTTGTTTCTGTGTTGAATAATCAAAAGTTTACCACGGTTATTCTGTTCTTGTGGACCTATAAAGCCAGATTTAACTTTTACTTAAGTTTTTAAAATCTATAATGTTAAAAATGAATAATGTGGGTCACTCGATATGCTGTAAGAAATTTCTGCAAGTGGGTATTGGATATAAATTGTGAAATTTACTATTTTTTTATTATATTGCTTGAATATCATTTACCACATGGTACTCAGATTCACATGACTTTATTTTCTAAAAAATAATTTACTTAGATTGAGTTATCAAATCAATCACCCCCTGAATACTTATTTTGGAAAGACTGAAAGTACAAAAATTAAAACTGTGTATCAAGTTTCAGTCTTACATTAGTCAGAAGATATAAGCCTCTGTAAATAGTAAAATTCACCACTCTCCTCTTCATTATCAGACTTCTATCAAAGGCTATTAAAATAGAAAATGGTACATGAATTTAAAATCATCCTTTGAATAATTATGTGTAGTTTAGACAATTAATGACTGTCTCCATTCATTTCCATTGCTCCATCACATAAATGATTTCTACTATTTTTAAGGTGATAATTGTTTGAAAAGAAATATTCTATGTTTTAATTCCTGGATAGTATTCACAAATACAATACTTACAGTTAGGATCAAATGCATAATTTAAAGTCCACATGAAGATTTTTTTAAACTTGAACATAAGTTTTTACTTTATTAAATCTTTCCAAATGCTGGCCTAATGAATATTATCAGTTGTGTATTACATAAAGATTAGTTATCATTACATGCAATCTTTTAGATAGGTTAAAAACATATAAGGTCCGGGGATTTAGCTCAGTGCTTCCACCGCCTGCCCTGCAAGTGCAAGGACCTGAGTTGGATCCCTGGTACCAAAACAAGCAAACAAACAAAGAAAAAAACCATAGATAGGAAAAAAAGCCTGTAATGTGGCAGAGACAAATTTAGGTGTTCACTATTTTATTTTAATCCTTAATAGTCTTTTAAAGAAGGCATTGCTCTGTTTATTTAATAGATAAGGAATTCAGTGCTCAGAGTCTCTTGACTTTTCTTGAGTACAGATTTACTAAACTGTAGAGAAAAATCTTGGTATCATTCTAACTTTTCTTTGTGTATGGGAAATTTACTTTGCATGATGCTTATAATTTTTTATTTAATCACTGTAATTGTCATGGTGCAAATATGACTGTGACCAAATATCAGTGTTCTTAGTAAGAACTAAGTCAGGAATAGCCAGGAGCAAAGGAGAAAAATTCCTATCCATTAAAGTATGAAATAATGGGTCAGGGATTTAGCTCAGCAGTTTGGTGGCCTGCCTTGCAAGCGCAAAGATCCGAGTTCAATCCCTGGTACAAAAAAAAAAAAAGATATGAAATATGAAAATAATGTTGAAGTACCCTTGAATTTGTATTTAGAAGTAACAATCCTCTATCAATGCATAAATTCTGTGTGTATCATAATTTCAATTTAAGAAAAAAGATCAGAAACATATTTTTCCCATTGAGTGGTAGTATTTCCCTTACAACGGTATTTTAATTAATTACCCATTAAATATTTATGTAATAAAAATTTATTCCATTGAAAACTTAAAAGCAGAATTATCAAAAGAGGTGGCCCACACTCAACATAATTCTGTGTTTTAAGATGTAAGGTAGACTGGTAGGTCTGTCTTTTCATCAATATAAAACATTGACAAGGAAATTCAGTTCATAGATTTTTCCATTGTTTGTAACAAGTGAGTAACTACTGAAACAAAATTTGATGATACCATCTTAACCTATCTTTTAGTTTGTTTAGTTTTTGCTGGGATACACTGATGAACCTCTCCATCATTGTAGGAAAATAATGTCTTGATTCTCACCTTCAGTCTCTATTTGCATCCACAACTCTATGTTGGATAATTTTTCGACAAAGAGTCTCTTGTGGGAAGCTATTGATTGTGTGGTATTTGCTGTGTCACAGCATCCAGTCTTTGTGTGTAGGTGTGGATGGGGGATTTTGGTTATACTATTTTTAACCACAATATACCCATCTTATGTGGGTGACCCATGTACCATCTCTGGATAAAGGAAATAATGAATAATAACTGAGAGGTATTTTAAAAGTTTAATTAAGGAATTCAGATAACAACTACTTTTGTCATTTTTACTAAAAACACTTCAAAAACCTTTTATTTGAATAAAATTTGAATTTGATTAAACAGGATCTAAATGTGATATAAAGACAATTAGGAAAGCACACTGTCAAAAATAAAGAGTCTGGGCAGCCTCAAATCTAATTCAAGTAGACACACTTTTTCCATGCTTCTGGAATACAGCACATTTAACAATTATATATACCCTTTTTAATTTGTGAATCAATGCATGGCATAAAATTTTTTCCACAAAAATGTTTTTCATCTAAAGACTCAGAAGTCCCAGCTATTTCCAGTAGCAGCATCTGCTGCTTTGCCAGTTTCCACAGAGATGAGCTCCTGTTGATTTTCACATTTGTTCCAGTCTGGAATCTGGTTAAAACATGCAAACAGTCATCTTGCCAGCTAAGAGGTGCAATCAGATAGTACCCCTTCAATAGTGATATTCACCTGCCTTTACTTCAAACTAAGTAATATTTTCAGGTGTGAATTTAAGAATGGCTTATCTAAAAATAATTTGAATTACAGAAACAACTATAAGATAAAGCAGTCTAGACAGAAGAAGGCTATGACACATGCATATTCTTAGAAAACATGATTATATCTACTTTAAAGCTTCTCAATTAAAACTTACATTTTATTTTTTGAACTCCATTTTAGGATAGTTTTTGCAAAAAGAAGTAGGCTTTCAGTTACATGTTATCTTAGCTCATCATCTAAACTGTGGATTGGCAATGATAGGCATTTTTCTGTTTTCCAATTTATAAAGCTTTGAAGTTATTACTCATATATTGATTTCAAATTATTAAATTTTAAACCAAAACAATTATTATGGATTGGAAATGTCTTCTATTTGTGTACCTACACCCAGCGAAATTGTGAAAGGAACAGCAGAAAAGCAAATGAAAGCAAAATTTCTTGTTATGATTGAGATACTCTCATAAATGATTTAATCACTTGCTGAACGTCTTCTTACTAGATCCTATCTTCTTATCTTCTCCCCTCCATTAAGTATACTTAGGAAGAAAATGTTGGGAAATCCTAGAGTTGGAAGTATGAGTAATGTAACTGTTTTTCTGTTTTAACAGTTTTGAATACGTACAGTCTGACAGTTTAAAAAAACAATTGTTGATATCTGGGGGCTCTTTAATTTATTTCATCTCTAATATGGGGCAGATTACTAACATATCAAAATTCTCCACAAATATTAACACATTATCTCTAAACGTAAGGAAGACCAAAGACACAAGAAATCACTATACAAAAGTGGAAACAGCAGTGTGTGTGTGTGTGTGTGTGTGTGTGTGCGCGCGCGTGTAATGTGGTTTAAACTCAGGGCTTTAACATGGTAGGTAAGCACTTGACCACTGAGCTACACGTTCACTCCTCCCCTTTTCTGTGGCAAGGTCTTGCTAAGTTACAAAGACTGGCCACAAACTTGAAATCTTTTCGCTAAGCTTGAGGAGTATTTGTGATTGCAGGCATGCACCACTGTATTTGGTTTCATACAGCAGTCATCTTTAGTCACTGTCTAAACACAAACCATAATTCTGTGCCTCAACTTTTAAACTCCCAATAAGTTTATAAAAGAGTGCATTATGAATGCTAGTTTAAAAAAGGAAAGTCAGTTCCAGAAAGATTTAGAGAGCTCTTACAACCTATATAGTAGTGGAATTAGTAACTAAATTCACATATTTTTCAAATATGTAAAGTTATTGCCTCACATATATTAGTTTGCTCAGGAAAGAAGAAAAGCTAATTTCATATAGTGGGATACAAGTCTCACCTTTCTTTTCAGTCAAACTCATACATATATTTCATTAACAATGTTTACAAATATTTTAATAAGAATACCTGAATACCTGTTTCCACTGCAGATGTTATATTTTTCTGATGTGAAAATCTAAAAGAGTAAATAATGTCAAAATATATAATTGATATTGTGTAATAGGAAGAAAAGGCCTAAAATAATAGAGGAAGTGAGAAGGGTAGGAAATATGTGAAAAGTAAAAAACATGGAAACAATGTCTTTGTAAGCAGGGAAGGGTGAAGGGTGGGAAGGGAGGGCTGGGGATTGGGGAAAAATAACAACCAAGGTAAGTCTTGTAAAGGTACAAGATCCCA